GAATATTGTAGGAGCAAGGGAAGAAGGAATATTTAGTATTAAATTTCTTTAAAAAAAGCTTCTAATGACTTTTTACATATTTATTTATTTAAGTAACATTAAACATTGATTTGAGTGATAAAAATAAAAAAATCATGTTCAAGAAATAAAATCTAATTCTTTCCATACCATTAAATTTAATAACTGAGAATGAATAAAACTATTTGATTTCTTTTTAAAAAATTATCACCTTGTAGGTTTATTAAAAGCAGATTCTTGACGGTAAAATAACAGTTATTATGAATAAAAAACGTCTAAAAGATATCTGTTGAATAGAAACTTTTAAATTTCATTCTAAAAGAAGAAAAAAGTTCAATCAAAATAAATTACGTTTTTTTTTTTGCTATAAACTTGCTATCTATCTTTCTCTATCGAACTAATATTCTAGCGTAATCTCTCGTTTAATTAGTCACGAGAACAAATGTCGCCACCAATTTTCATTCTTTAGATTCTAAAAAATAGATCAATGTTAGGAGTGTTACCAGAATGCACTTAAAAGTTCGTACAAAAACTAATTATTCTACTTAAATACATAATAAAAATAATTTTTTTAGTGTACTTGAATGTAATAAATTGTTTCATTATGTCTTATAGGTTGTGAGGATTTGTCTTGGGTATTTAATTGCTATGGCAGAAGTTTAATTATGGTACAAATATTTCCTCGGAGAATTTGTTTACTTGGAGTGCTGTTATGTGAACACATTATGAAAATACGTACAGACGTTAATTGGAGGTGTTCTGTAAATTTAGTTTTAGATTACAAGAAAACAACGAGCAAACAAAGTTCTTGTTATTCTCGTTTATATTAAATGTGCTAAAGTTTCAAAGAAAAATATCGAAGAGTTAAAATATTTGCTAATTGAAGTTTTCAATTATTTGACAAAAAAAATTTTTTTTTATTAAATAAGTGTAATTACAAATCTGTTTCAATTAAACAATGAGTAATTGTGATGGTTTATTCATGTGCACTAAAAAGTCCTATAATATTTTTAGGTACTGAAAACCTTTTAGTCTTCACTCTATAAATCTCGATAGTAGGTCTAGTAGCTTGAATTTCTTTTTGAGTCTATGTGTTTCGTTACTTCTATCCAGAATCGTTGAGACCAGCCAGTTCGGATAGTAGTTGAGCCTGTCGATATATCTCGTGCTGAATAGTGCTATTTCTTCTTTGATAGTATTTATTCCAAGATCCTTGTAAATACTTTTATTCAAACCAGGAAGCATTTACAGGGAGCTTTGGATTGAAATCGTTGTATTACTTGGACTGGGCTAATGTATGCTGAGCCCCAAAGCTGGATGCCAGACGTCTATATTGGCTTGATGATAACTTTGTGAATCAGGAGTTTGTTTTCTAATGACAGCTTTGAGTGCCTGCTTCTTAATCAGTAGAGTTTTTTAAATCTAAATAATAATCTTTTATTTCTTTAGTTACCTTATAAGTAGATTTTTACTTTTTTTTTTTTAAGTTTTTTGAAGAGATTCATCTTGGACCAAAAGGTCATCTTGCTCTGGTTTTGTCTATCAGTGTGGATCACTTTTATTATTAAAAAGTTATCTAGGTATATTATTTTGCAAAAACTCTTTAAAAATATTTTTTTAAACAAATTTCAAAGTTTTTCCACTGATTTATCAATGAATATTCAACGAATTTATTTGATTTACTTTCCAACTCGGCAATTTCTTCAATAAATTGAATCAATAAAATTGTTCCATCTAGAAGAAAACTTTTTTAATATTATTAGTCAATAATATTTACACTAAGTTCAAATACTTTTGAATTTTAATGTTCTTTAATATTTATTTTATTAGAAAGTCGACAGAACTTTTATCGTTTTATCGCATTAAATTTTCTATTCATTATCAAGACGGATAGGAATTTCTTCAAAAGTAGAATAATACTTCTTTCTCAAAAGATATTCTATCATCATAATAATACTTGAGTAAACATTTTTTTTTTCAATGAGGAAATAGTAGCTGCTGGAATACTGAAATTATTTATCTTTCATTTATAATTTATGATATTTTATCACTAATGTAATTTGAATTATCAAAGGTGAGATGCAATAAGGGTACTATTTAATACATTACAGAATAATTAATTTACATCTATTATCGATAATTAAATAGTGTAACGTTGGTTTGAACCAATTAAGGAATTAATGAAATAGAAAATCATTTTACATCATATCATATTTCTATCTTTAATTAACAATTATGTGTGGAACGTCATTACTTAATTAATTATTCAATGAATTTACCAAAATACTAGAAATTAAATTCATATGAAGCAGAAAATTCTTCAGATAATTTTGAAAATTGTTTAACAATGTTTCATTTAATATTGAAGATATCGTTTTTTATATAATATATTTCCGGAAGGAATGCTCTTAAATCACTTGATCAATTGAAAAATAACTTCCTCCCTGCTGAGTTTTGGTGGAGAACATCTTTCCAAGGATTATCTTGAAAAATGCTTTTATATTACCTAGTCATCAACACCCTTATTGAGGTATGCATTAAAAGAAAGCTTTCAGTCTACGTAAATGGTCTTTTAAACTTACATAAAGTATTTTTATTCCCTTAAATGGCCTCAAGGACACTGAAATTATTCCAATGTTTGCAAAAATTATTGACGATCTTGATAAAATAATTGTCACAGAATATGATAGAAAAATTCACGATATTTTCAAGTAAAAAATTTATAATGAGCTCTAAAGAAATTATTTTCCATCAAGTTAATTGAATATTGATTTTTTTTTTAATTTAAAAGTACACTAAAAATACTAGATAAATTTTATTTTGTGAAAAATTTATACTGTCATGACCGATATCTTAAACTTGGTATTTAAATTTACTTTGGGTTGCTCAGTAAGCCAAAGTTAAACAAAGACTGGCTTGGTTTTTTGTTTGCCTAGGTTACTTAGCACCAAAAACTGGACTTCAAAGGTAAATGTGAGACGTTGTTTCTGACTAGAATCCTTAAAGAGAAATATTCTTAAATCTCATATCAAAAAAAAATTACATAAAAGAGAAACTATTAATTACAAATAAATATTTTTCCAGCAGATGTACGCAAATATTTTTTTACCTCAATTGAATATTAGTTTAAAAAAATACAAAAAAAGCTGTAGAATATTTTTACCAAAAACTATCCATCAAAAGTTTTTCAAACTAATAAAAAAGAATAAAAAAATACACCATCATAAATATCAATAAAAAAAGATTCTTTTATTGAGAGGTTTTTTTTCAATCAATATAAATAAATAATTCCAACATAAATTGTATAGATCAGATTTTTTGTAAAAATAAAAAAAAAAGACCTAAAGTCCTTTAGAATAAAATTAATATTTTTTATAAAATATATACAGTAGCTTTATGCATATTGATTAATAACTTTGAAAAACATAAAAATAAAGTTAATGCCTATTTTAGAGAAGAGTTTAGATTAAAATTATTATTAATAATATATTCTTTTAACAATGGTACGATAAAACCTGATTCTTTTATTTAAACAAACGTTTTATTTTTCAATAATCATTAATTCTAGTGTAATAAAAAAAAGATCCTAAGAAAAAATTAATCTCAATCAAAATGCCTTAAACGTAAAGAATAAAATTAAATCTCTATTAAAATTTGTGAGATAATTATCATTTCACGAATAGCACTGATGAAAGCGGAATGTTGGAAATGTATTGAAGCTACACAATAAAAGTTCTCACGTCTATTACACCCATTATAGAACTTGTCAAAATATAAAATATATTTTGAACATTACTCGCTTCATCCCCTGTTAGTTCGCTTTTATTGATTTAGTATGTTCGTTGTAGTTGTCACACTGGGGAAGTAAAGCCGTTTAACGCACTGATGTTGAGAGTAGGACAACACTTTCACAATTGATCTTTTTGTGGTTGGATCGTGATTCAAAAGAGCATAATCACGGTGTTGTCAGTATAAAGGCTTTACAAATCGTATGACATATCAAATGGAATGAAAAAGACACCAATTCGTGAGTATTAGAAGAGCTTACGAGTTAGAAAAAAAAATATGAAAGGATAAGATAAAAAGCAGACACTTGGAAAAATGGTAAAAGAAGAAAAAAAGTATTTGAAAGATAAATTGAAATATAGGAATTAGTTGAAATATTCAAGCTTTTAATAAATTCGTTTAAAAAATATTGAATTTAAAGTTAAAAAGTTTTCTAAAGTTAATCGATTTAATTGATTTATTTTGTTCATTTTGTACTTTTTGGCTTAGTAATAATTTTTTTTAGTATCAACAATGCGGAATACACTGATGAACGTATCAATAAAAATTTCATATCAGTGTATTTCGCTTGCATTCATTTGATTTATTGAATGTATTTAATTAAATTAATAGCTTGATAAAAAATGATACGATGAGCTTGATTAAAAACAAAGAAACTTAAGCCTAAGCTAATGAAAAAAAATACTGATAAAAAGTTTTTTATGAACATTAACTTTTTGCTTACTCTTCTAAGTAATTAAATATACATAATAGTTTTTACTTTTATCAATATTAACGCCCTTCTCTAATGTTCTTGACTTCATTCCAGGCAGTGGTCTATTTAATAATCAGCTTTTTTTTTGTAACTTGAAGCATATTTTTTTTCATTTTATTTAAATAAAAAGTTTGAAAACCAAAATGATTAAATAACGAAATTGCTTTTGTCCATGAAATGCAATTTTAGAGAAAAACTTCAATACGATAGCTTATTTTGTTCTTTAAAATAAAAAGATTTCACTTTGTAAAAAGTATTTGTGAAAGAAACAATTGAATTTTTTTGATAGTAAATAAAAAAAAAATGCTTGACCATCGAATTTTTTAGCGTAACTATTTTTAAAAAAGGAAGTTAGTGTTGAAAAAAGAAAAAAATATATTCACACTTCAGCATGAATAGGTGAATAAATTGGACGATAATAAACATGATAAAAGAGACTCACCGTCTAAAGTCTCGGCTCCAGCAAGCATAGATGACTGGGTTCATACCACTGTTGATCCATCCCAACCACGTAACTGCGGCGGACACCATTTCTTCATTGTAAATACATCGGGAGCAGAATCCAGATAGTAAATTTACGACGAAAAATGGGAGCCAGCAGACAATAAAAACTCCCATGACTATTCCCAAGGTCTTGGCAGCTTTTTTTTCCTTAGCAAATTTAGCTAACTTTCTAGACAACGAAAAGTTTTTACCAAGATGTTGTTTATTATTAATTCTCGCTGAAGGCATACGAGTTAGTCCATTATTATGAAGTGTAAGTGGTTCTTCCATGTCCTGAAGATCTTCAGGAGTACTTGATGCTGTTCTAAATAGTCGAGTATTGGTCGCACCACCTCGATGTATCCTTAAAGTAAGTTCTAATTCACCGGACGCCATCATAACTTGTTTTGTACCAAGTTTGAGACTACGAGTTTGAATCACAGCTGCTCGATATATCCTGTAGTAAGTGAATACCATTACAAACAATGGTAAATAAAAACTAATTGTCGACGAGAAAATAAGATAACCCAAGTGTTCAGTAAATGGACACTTGTCTTTTGGTACTTCTTCAGTTCGAACTGCTCGCCACCAAGCTATTGCCGGAAACGATATTGCGCTTGAACAGATCCAAACAATAGCTATTAAAATGGCAGCACGTCTTCTGCTCATTCTTGTTGGATAAGTGAAAGGGTCCGTAATGGCCCAATATCTATCCAAACTGATAACGCAGAGATTTAAAATGGATGCAGTAGAAAATAATACATCTAATGATCGCCATACGTCACACCAATCCATTGAAAAAAGCCATCGGTTCTCTAAAACTTCATAAATAGCACTAAAAGGCATCACCACCAGCCCCACTAGACAATCGGCAAATGCTAGTGATGTAACAAAGTAATTAGTCGCTGTGTGAAGGTATCTCTCTCTAACAACCGCGAGAATCACTAGTGTGTTGCCGAAAACTGTCGCCACTGAGAACAAAAATAACATTATTGCCAACCCAACACGGTCACTTGTTAAATCCCACAAATCAGTCGACGTCCTGTTAATAAAATAACTTGCGTTGTAAAACGTGGGATTCAAATCCAGCGCCAAAATGGACGACTCGTTCCAATTGAATAAATAGACGTCACTCTCGTTCATCATTCTAGGATTTTAGTTGATTTTGAGGTTAGAGATTCAGGTTGTCGAACCTGCTCCACCTGGTGACTGTCTCGACTGCCTTCGCATTGTCACTAGCCGAGGGAATCCCCTTTCTCTCTGTTATTACTGTTATGTAGCAAGATTAAAAGGGTTGATTCTAAAAGCTGAAACAGTTAAATTGACTTTTTTAGATGATTTAATTATTCATTATTTTTAGTGGTTTAATTTGTTGGAAATTTTTTAAATTTATTGGTATCAAGATAATATTACGTACAATGGGACTATTCAATTCATTAATCGTATTCAAGTGTTCATCGTGTCGCAATAAATTAAATACCAGTTACAATTGGAATTCACACATTTAATACACTGAATTTTCCCTGCACCAGTATCCCAACAAATCAATTCATTGAAATTAATTTGTACGACACCGTCGAGCGTAAAAAAAATAAAAGAAAAAAATCTACTTCCATTTTATCGTACACATCATTTCAACCTACATCTAAATGATACGTAGATGTGATTGTTTCACCAGGCCAATCGTTTTTAATCTACTCAAAAAATTAAATCTTTTTTTCATTAAATTTCAAGGTTAATTTATTCTTTTTGTTTTAATTTTATTCAATATATCAAAATATGATATATTATGCAAAAAAATTGTCTGATTATAATACTAAAGTTTATAAAGAAACTTAAAAATACATAAAATGGGGGAAAAAAATTTTTACAATGTCATAACACTTTTTAATGATCATAATAATTTATGTTGGTAATATAATGTTTACTAGAAGATCAAAATTTCTTTATATATAACATTCCAAAATAATTTATATGGCTGTAAAGATATTATTTATAAGTAAATTTTTTTTTTAAAAATGAAGATTTAAAAATTTTTTTTTGTTAAGTAATAATTTAATCAATTTTAATTATATTTTCAAGGTCATGAGTTAATAATAGCAATAAAACAAAGGTGAAACTAAAGACAAAATTCAATGAAAAATTTACTATCACTAAAGATTGATATAAAGTTGTAAACATTATTATGGCAGAACCGTAAAACCTTCTTTCAAAAATTCTTAATTAAACTTTAAAACATCTTAAAAGAGAAAAATACCACACGTTAGCAAAAAAACAAAACTTTTTCCCGTTTTATGACTTCGATTCTAAAAATCACTCTTTTTTACTACTTTTTAATTTACTAATCTTACATTTACTCTTTCAAAAATTTTAATAAATTTTCAATTTATCTGAAACGACATTACAACTAACAAGACTCTTCCCACAATAAACAAATTATCCAATTATTCAAACGATCCAATAATCAATAAAAAGTACTCTTGAAATTTTTTTCAAAACAATTTTAATCTTAAAGAAATAAGGCAAGACTTTTTTAAACTTACTAAAGTGAAAAGTTGTTCTTAAATAAATAAAATACTTGACGATCAATTCAAATTTTCATTTGAATAATTGAACTCAATTTTATTCCAAAGATAATTGAGTTAAACAAAACAAACATATTTCTTGGGCAAAAAAGATCTTCCTTACTACATACAAATACAAAATATATGATATAATAAAATGATAAACATATAAAAACTCTTCATTAACCCAGTTCTCTGTATAAAATCAGCGATATGGTAAGCAATTGAGACGAAAAAGTGAGTGGTGATCATGAATACAAATGAATAGAAAAGGCAAGTAAAAAGGAATTTACTAATTCACAAAAGGTGATGCTATTTTAGTGTTTTTTTTTATTGTCATCAATGCAAACAAGCAGAGTGGTGGGATATATATATTGGTAGCTTTAAAAAGAGACCGTTGGTGGTGTATAGAGATTGAAGAGAAATAAAGTGAAGTATCGAGGTATGTGGTGGTAAACACGACGTATACTCTAGTTTGAGAGTAAGCGAATAAAGTGGTATAGAAGCGAATGAGACAGCCTCTGGTCAGAGCTTCGGACAGGGTCAGGCTTTCAACCGTGATCCGGGTGAATGTTTACCGCTACTTGATCAAAGCAGATTCGATCCAGCAGGTTGTGTAGTAGCCTTCTAGAATCGTTTTACACCTGAGGCTTTACCATCTACATACCGTAATTCACACCCCATCATAAAGCTCTGTATACAACACTATTTGTGATAAATTATTCCAATTTTATTTATTTTTTTTTTCCTTTTTTCTCATTATTCAACCTATTGTGTATACATTCAATTATGTTCATTAATCAATTTATTTGAAACTAGTGAAAAAATTTGCCTTTAATTATCTTTTCATCGAATATTTTATATTTATAAAAGTACTTTTTTTTTAAAATTTAATAAACTTTCGATAGAAAAATAGATGATAAAATGTTATTTTAATTTTTACATTTTTTCATTTTATTAGAAAAGAATTTGAGTTATCTTTTATAAAGTTTTACGATAAAAATTCTGTGGTAATAAAAAATCGAAAATTCTTTCTGTTTACTTGGACGACCCAACTGGTATTCACCATTCATCATCATGGAATTTTTTTTTGATATAATATGATCATATGATAAAAAGACAAACGAAAAAATTACTTATGGAATTTCATTCCGTTCAATGAAAATGTTTTTTATTTATAATAATTGCCTTGGTAGAAAGACAATTGATTATATGACTTTTATTTGAATCAAAGATTCCAATGATGAACATTTGTTCGTGAAAAATGGAAAATATGCTACAAATATGGATTATTGAAACAATAAATAAAATAAAGACATAGTTATGTTATGAACTAGAGTGATCATTTGTATATAATTAATTGAAAGACATATAAAAAATATAAACCAAACTAAGAAGTGATTTTTTATTTCATTGAGTTCATTTCATCATGAAAGATCACTTAATAAATTATTTTAACAAAAATATTCAATAGTTTAAAACCTCCAGATTGCCAAGTGTCAAACTTTACTTCATAACTAATTAATAGGAAGTTGTTTAATTTATAATAACTTACTCCAAATTTTTAGGAATAAATTCATGAAATAAGTTGCTTTTATTTTTGAAAAAAATTTTCAGACTTCCCAAAAGCATTAATGCTGTCAACTCCATTTACCTCAATGAAAAAAACCACGTTAAAAAATTTGTAATGAATAAAACTGTTTTTTTTTATATAAAATAAAATATCGGGCTGTTAATTTTAAAAAGCTTTTTTTAATTTTCAAAACGTTAAAATAAGTGTAACATATTTTTTGCTGCCAGGAAGGGAAAAAAAATTTTGGCAATAAGTATTTCATTATTGTTAACTGGCATTTCTCCAATTAGGTATCAGTAATAAGGAAGAATTTCGAAAATTCTATCACGCAATAAATAGATAAATAAATTTAGTAAATTGTTAATTTAAATTACAATCAGTTAAGCAAACTCATTAAACTATTTCCAACAGTATATGTGAATAATGTTATATCAACTTGTGAGTAATTTACATATTCCATAGTTTCTGGACTTGATGAAAGCCATCACTTATTAAATATTTTTTCTGCTTACATCTAGGCATTTTTAACATATTGATTGATCATCACAGGCTTTAATAAATCAAGTTTTTGTATAAAAGTATTTTTTGCATGAATTTTAAATAGCATCTAATCTAACTATACCATCACAAGTATGAAATAGCAGACAAGTGTAAACAACAGTTCATTTAACTCTAACTTTGTCTAAGTTGACGTTTTAATTTCATTTAATGTAACTTCAAGTAAAGTACTAGATACTAATTTTATACAAAATTGTTAGAAGTTATAATTTATAATTTTTTTTTTATTTCTCTTTATTTGCCAAAACCCTTAGCATAAATTTCATTTTTATATTTGCAAATCTCTGACTTTAATTTTCTTTTAGTTTACAAGTTAAATTTCATAGAAACTTCAAAATACATACAGATATCGAATGTTGAGAATCAAATTAAAGAGTATATTTGTACAATTCTATATGAAAATGAATATTACCTTGAAAGCTTGATGAAAACAGAGAAAAAATTATGCACGCTTAAAAGAACAAACTCTGAGCTAATTATCCGTTTAGTTTATGTATAAAAGAAAGAATAAAAGCTACCAACTACTTCAATATTCATATTTAAATAGGAAGTGAATTAGTTTAAAAATATAAAACATTTTTTTCTTACTCTGAAATTTGGTCAAATATAATTAAAACTTGCGAATGAAATATTCTGTAGAATCTTTTTTAGTCTTTAATTAATACTTCTTTCTCCTAACATACGCTTAGTATTCTCTTTTAGTTAAATTCTTTGTAATTAGTCCTATTTTTTGTGACACAAAAAAATTGTCCTGCACAAAAAAGCTTGGCATGTAAAATGAAAAAAAAAAAAAATGAAGGTTTAATTTAATTATCAACCAGTCAGGATAATTGAGCTGTGTATATAAACTTGATATCAACTAATCATTAGAAAATGTCAAATTCTTTTTATGTGAACACTAAACTTGATAGAAATGTATGAAATTTCAGTCTATCCAATGAGCTTAAGTAAATTGAGGTAAAAGAGAGCATGAAGGAAGGTTGAATTGTGGTTATTAGACTCTTGATGCCACACAAATATCATTCCTTCATATCCTCCAAGTTCCATCTAAGTTACATGATTATCAGAAGGCAAACTTTCGATCAATATCATTCTTAAATGACCAAATTTGCATTACAATCGACTGACTTCTATATTCCAACTATCAAGAAAACTTTATTATTCCAATTAAAAATTTTCCAATCCAACTTCTTTTATTTCTAAATCATTTTTTTATTGGAAAAAACACCTTCAAATCAAGTTAGTTATTTTATCCATTAAAAGTTTTTTAAAGCATTAATTACATAAGCTTAACTTAAAAAGGATTAAATGTTTTAAATAATTAAAAATTTGAGTATTAGAAGTTTTATTGTGATGATCATTACACCTGACATTGATTAGAGGAAAGTAAATAAATCTTGAGATGAGACTACTAAAACAGATTTTATTGCATGTAAGTTGAAGTAATGAGTTCCAAGACAAACGAATGAATCAATGATGAAAGGATATTTGGTTGAATGAGTAAAAGTGGGTGAAACTAAGTTTGAATTGAAAATTGGTGAATTTTTATATGTTAATATAACCACGAGCATGTTTAGAGTTTAGCAATATTGCAAGTGACATTAGAACAGTA